CTTTGGGCACTGAACAGATTTCCTGTGTCCTTGTTGGGAGACCACCACATGGATGAGAATCTCAAGGGGAGGCCCGCTATTTTTAAATCTGTTGAGTTTATAATAAACACTCTCAGAAAGCTAGGAATAAAGTGGGGGGGGGGGCCTTTTTCTACTTGTTAAGAGCATTTACAAAAAAACTACAGTGAGCATCATACTCATGGAGGAAGACTGAATGCTTCCCCTCTAAGATCAGGAACAAGCAAACATGAAGATTTCTACTATACACATCACTATTTTTCAGCAGAGTACTGGAGTACTAGCCCATGCAATAAAGCAAGAAAGGGAAATTAAAGGCATTCAGCTCTCCTTTTCTCAGAGGAGAAATAACATTGTTCTTATTTGCAGATGACATGACTGTTTGGGTATCAAATCCTAAGAAATCTATAAAAAACCTTCTAGAAAGTTCAGTTAAGGTTGCAAGGTACCATATAAGCATAAAAAATCCGTTGTATTTACTGTCAATGACATGTGGACACCAAAATTAATAATATAATGCCATTTATAGTCAGAGAGAGAGAGAGAGACAGAGAGAGAGAGAAACAAGAGTAAATATATAACAAAAATGTATGGGACTTAAATGCTGAAAACTACAGAATACTCATGAAAGAAATAAAAGACCACCTGAACAAATGGAGAAACATACCATGTTTGTGGATGGAAGGCAACATAGTAAAGATATAAATTATTCTTACACTGATACATAGGTTTAAACACAATTCCTACAAAAATTCCAGCAAGATATTTTGTATGTACAGGCTTGTTACTAAAATTTATATGGGAAGGCAAAAGAACCAGAATAGTTTAAAAAAAACTTGTAAAAGAAGAATAGAGTCACTATATGATTTAAGACTTAATATAGCTACAATAATCTAGACCACGTCATATTGGTAGAGCGATAGACACAGAAATCAATGAAATGCAATAGGGAACTCAGAAATAACCCCCCACACAGTATGGCCAAATGATTTTTGGCAAAGCTACAAAAGCAATTCAATGGAGAAAGGACAGTCTTTGCAACAAATGATTCTGGAGCTACTGGATATCCACATGTAATAAAAATAAAGACTTGGACTTAAACCTCACATTATATTTTTAAAATGATCTCAAAAAGGTTCATATATTTAAATATAAGACATACAACTACAAAACTTTCAGAAGAAAACACAAGAGAAAATCCTCAGAATCGAGGGCATGGGGACTCTGCAACCACGCTCTATAAAAGAATGAAGATGATAAACCGAACCTCATCAACACTTAAAACTTCTGCTCTGTGGAGAGAATGAAAAGACAGACTCCCGGTGGGAGAAAATATTTGCAAACCAGACCTCTGACAAAAGACTCATATCTAGAATACAGAAAGAACTCTCAAAACTCAACAGGGAAAAACAACAACAAATGGTCTGACTAGAAAGAGGGCAAAAGACATGAGGAGACATTTTACCAAAGTGGATATGCAGAAGGCGCATGAAGCACTAACTACATGAACAGATATTCAGCATCACTAGCCGTTTGGGAAGGGCAATTAAAACCACGATCAGCTATCGCTAGGCACTAACACAGCTAAAATAAAACACGGGGATAAAGTACCTGCTGGTGAGGATGCAGGGAAACCGTGTCTCGTATACTGCTGGGGGGAATGAAAGTGGTAATCACCCTGGACAACAGTCTGGCCGTTTCTTTAGGATAAAGTACCTGCTGGTGAGGATGCAGGGAAACCGTCTCTCGTATACTACTGGGGGGAATGAAAGATGGTAGTCACCCTGGACAACAGTCTGGCAGTTTCTTTGTAACACAGCTAAAATAAAACACAGGGATAAAGTACCTGCTGGTGAGGATGCAGGGAAACCGTGTCTCGTATACTGCTGGGGGGAATGAAAGTGGTAATCACCCTGGACAACAGTCTGGCCGTTTCTTTAGAAACCAAACTCGTGATCCGGCAATCACACCGCTGAGCACTGATCCCAGAGAAATGAAACTTATGTTCGTACAAAAAGCTGTACACGACTGTGTGTAGTGGACTTATTTGTAACAGCCCCGGGTGGAAAACAGTCAAAATGCCCTTCTGCAGGTGAATGGTTAAACAAAAGTGGGACGTCTACCCCATGGAATCATACTCAGCAATAAAAGGAACAGGCTAATCGCAATGGATCTCAAGGACATCCTGGTGGGGAAAAAACAAAAACAAAAACAAAAACCCTCAAAAGGTCACACGGTAGATGAGTGGGTTTATATAACATTCTCAAAAAGATAAAAGTATAGAAACAGAGAACTTGTTCGTGGTTGTCAGGGTTTAGGGATGGTGGTGGAGAGGTGTGGTGACGGTGAAAGACCATCACAAGGGAGAGCTTTGAGGATGGGGTCGTTCTATACCTTGATGGCTGCACACGAACCCACACATGTGACAAAACGGCATAGGGCCAAACACACCCTTTGCACCATGTCAGTTTCCTGGTTTGGACGTGGTTATGGCTAGGTAATATGTAACCAACTGGGAGAAAGTAGGTGAAGGTACCTGGGATATCTATCTATCTATCTCTCTCTCTCTCTCTCTCTCCAATTTTTGGAACTTTTTGTGAATCTATAATTATTTCAAAAGAAAAAGTTAAAAGAAAATCTGTTGAGTCAGGTCTCAGAGAAACCTGCCTTTCACAGTTATAAAGGGATTCTGCTGTGTTTCTCTTTCTGCTTCAATATTTTAACCATCTTGGGTAGTTAAAAAGGCTCAAAGCCACTGTTTCTAGTATTCCTTTCTTCCTCCCAGCTTCCTTGGATGTCAAGGGGCGGAGGCTCTGGACCAAACCACAGCTACTTCGAGACTGGAATGAAATGAGAAAATGCTGAGGCCACACCCACTGCGTGGAGACCCGTGGGCTCCCAGGGGCCCACCACAGTCTCCAAACCTCTGGCAGGGGCGAAGGCCACTGCCCAGGCTGGGCGCTCCGGGTGGCCCTGGCTATCATACCCCGAGCAGGGGAAGGGCAGAGCACCAGCTCCACGCCCACCTTGCCAACCGCCCACCAGGCTGCTGGGGAGGGGACGATGGGTGGGACATCCGCAGACAAGTTCAGCGGATGACGTAGGACACGGGGCACTTTGCCTCCTGTGGAAATCCAGCTCGTTTGGCCAGTGGTTGTTGGCAGCGCCTTGAGGGGAAATGTGGCTGTAAGGCCAGAGGTGATGTTCCAAAAGAGATGTGAGTCCACAAAGCAGTCAGGGCTTTGGAGCGGGTGGGGGAATGGGCTGGATGAGTTCTTACCTCTAAAACCAGGTCTGAGTCTTCGTGCCTTCCAATCGTCGTACTTTTGTTCAGGACAAAAAAGCCTTCTGCGCTCTTTAGATAGGCTTTCATACTCTCTGCTTTTCCTCTGCAAGGTTTCCAGGAAAAAATCGGTTAGGAAGATGCAGTCCTCCAATCACTCCACGTCACATTTAGAATGAATGAGACACACCGTCGTGTCCAAAGGGGAAACCAGCAGAGGTGCGAGGGCACAGATGGACTGACGTGATCACAATGATGATGATGCATATTTTTTAAAATATATTTTTTATTGGGTTCAGAGAGGAAGGGAGAGTAAGAGAGAGAGATAGAAACACCAATGATGAGAATCATTGCTTGGCTGCCTCCTGCACGCCCCCTACTGGGGATCGAGCGTACAACCTGGGCATGTGCTCTGACAGGGAATGGAATTGTGACCCCCTGGTTCATTTTTTAAAATATATTTTTTATTGGGTTCAGAGAGGAAGGGAGAGTAAGAGAGAGAGATAGAAACACCAATGATGAGAATCATTGCTTGGCTGCCTCCTGCACGCCCCCTACTGGGGATCGAGCGCACAACCTGGGCATGTGCCCTGACAGGGAATGGAACTGTGACCCCCTGGTTCATAGGTCAATGCTTAAGCACTGAGCCACACCAGCGGGCTGATTTTACTTATTTGAAAGACTGTCTCTTTAGCTGTGATCTCTAATATAGGTGAGTTTGGTTCTGATAATCAAGTAGAAGACATTTTTACTTAACTCAGAGCAAAACTATAGCTACAACTCAACAAATCTGAATTCTACAATTGACTGTTCTCCCATTAAACTTACCTAGTAGAGTGAAGTTACTTGTTTGACATACCAAGTATTCACGTTCAGTATTCCCAACCCTTCCCTTCCTAGCTCTGTGACCTTAGGTGAGTTACTTATTCTTTCTCTATGCCTCAGTTTTCTCATCTGTAAAATGGGGCTAATAATACTCTGTATCCCAAAGGGTTTTGCGAGGATTAAATGCAATAATCTGCGTGAAGCATTTAGAAACACACATCTGTACTATGACTTTTATTATTGTTATCAATCTTGGACTTCTTGAACTCTGATCCTAGGAACTCTAAGCTTCTATAGAGCTTCTTAAAGTGTCGAGTCAGTCTTTGAGGAGATGAGTTTTACGGTAGGTGATACCTTTTGTAAAAAGTCACTCAATTTTTTCATATACTTAGAAAAAAATGATGATTTAGGTTTGGCCATATGATCAGGACTATGCACATATTTCTTCCCAGTATTTTATTATGAAAATATCAAATGTACAGAAAAGTTGAAAGAAGTGGATGGTGAACTCCTATACCCACCAACTGGATTCCACAATTGACATTTTGCTGTATTTATTTGATCACATATCTATCCAGCTACCCATTCACTCATCCATTTTATATTTTGATGCATTTCAAATAAGTTCTGTACGTGTTTTTCAAAATGTCAACATTTCAGCAACTTCAGTCATTCCCAAAACGTTGGTGATACTTCACATGCTGCTTGCATTCTGATTTGAGGTGTGTCCGATTACAGTGTGACAGCCTCCACCTCAATGCCACGCCAAAGAATGACAGTCCCTCTCTTTTCAACGGAAAGGTCACTGAAATGTGAAGTTGCTGGACTGTGGATAAAACCAAAGTCATCTAGTTGTGACTGTATACCTATCAGGTCTGGCTCTGCCTTCCCTCACCATCTCCATCATCATTTATTGTGCCATCCTTTTATAGACATTGCCTCTTTTTATCGTCAGAACAGCCCTGAGAATTTGGTATCACTATTGTCCCACTTTACAGAGGGGGAGCCTGAGACTCAGAGAGGTTAAGGTCATGCAGCAGGAAGTGTCAGGGAGAGAACTCTGGGCGCTTTCGTGTAACTACTACATGACCCTCCACAGCTCAATTTCCACCTCCATTGTTGCTGGGTGGGGCGGAGAGGGGACAGTCAGTTACCCTGTCTGCTGACCCTTGGGGCATGCAATATCAGAACGTCCTTGAAACCAGGATTCTATCCTATGAGAGGAAAAAAAGACCTTATTCAGGGGTAAGAGAAATAAAAATAAGCCAGAGAGTTTATTTTATATTTGTAAACTCTGAGGCCTGTGGATGTCTCACAAATATCGGTGCTTTCATATCACAAGTAATAAATTTTTAAGTGTGTTGTCATTAATATAGGAGAAAAGACATTTTTTTCCAAAAGAAGCATGCTCTCTTGCCATCAACTCGTTTCAGTTATTCACCCTCAATTGGGGAGGACCATGCTACCTAGCAACTCATTCAATAATATGTGTGAAGCATTTAGAAATATATCTCCAGTGTCCATTGTGCAGAATGTCTCTCCTGTGGGGAAGCCACCAAACTAAACCCCAAAACTCAGGTGATGTTCATATTTGTGTTTAGCTCTCACCCAGGTGTTCCCAAGGCTGGTGCGTTCTCTCTGCTCGGATGTTACCCCTTCGTGGGGACCATCTGACCACCTGGCTAAAGGCACCTCCAGTTAATGTCACTTTCCAGCCAGCACCTCTCCCTGCTGTGTTTCCTTCCTTGTACGGATTCTCTGACATTTTCTTTTTTTTAAAAAAAAAGATATTTTTATTGATTTCAGAGAGGAAGGGAGAGAGAGCTAGAAACATCAACGATGAGAGAGAATCATTGATTGGCTGCCCCCTGCATATCTCCTACTGGGGATCTGGCCTGCAACCCAGGCATGTGTCATGACCCCCTGGTTCCTAGGTCGACGCTCAGCCTGAGCCACTCTGGCTGGGCTGACATTTTCTTATTCCTTCATTTGGTTGGGTTTGCTGTCTGTCTCCCTCTCATTAATATATATGTTCCAGGAGAGTCAGAACCGTGTTTTTGTTGTTGAGACAATTTTGCATGAGTTTTGTGTGTTTGTACTATCTTCAGAGCAAAGGCACTGACAGATTTTGTCCTGCACGGTCTTGCCAAGGAAGTCTGCAGGGCAAACGGCCTGGGAGAATACAGGCAAGGCTCATAAGAAAGACGATGCCTCCCTTGGGGGCAATGACCAGGCAAGTTTGCCAGCAGCCCCTTTCAAAGACTGGGGCTTCCTAAGCTTGGAGCTCAGCTGGGGTATAGACCCAGTGCGTGCACAGCACCCACTGATGTCCTGCACCGCGCCAAGGGACTTGGGGCAAGGGAACAATGTGAATGTGAATCCTGGTTGCCTGCCGCCCATTCTGCTGTGAGTAGTCAAGTCCTCTGTCGCCAGCCCCGGTGTCTCCTGTCTTCTACCAGCCTCTGTCAGCTGGGCAGGCTACCTCGTTAGCTTGCAAGCAGGGGGAAAACTCAGCCCCTTCCAAGTTCCTGACAGTTTTGTTCTGTTACCCCATATCCAGCGCCTGCAGCAATGCCTGATACATAGTAGGTGCTCAGAAAACACTGGCTAAATGAATGAAAATAAAAAATGACACCTCAAAGCCATCAGAGGACCATCTGGCTAGGAATCTTTCACAGTAACTACCCTCATTTGCCGTTCAGTATCTATTCTACAGGACTTTTTGGAAAACCTAAATTCTATCTCTTTAGCTTTGGGGTTGGACAACACTTCACCTTAGTCCTGCCCCGCGCAGCCATTTCCCTGCCTGAAAAACACCATAGAAAGTAATCGAATGTCTTAAACTCTGTAAATTCATTCTTAGGGCCACAGAGCACCAGCCACAGTGAAGAGGAAAGAGCTTCAAGCACGGGCACCCCCTGACCACTTCGTTGGGCCAGAATGGGCCACAGAGGCGAGATTTCTCCTGAGGGCTACAAGGTCTCCAGTGGCCTGGGCGGCGTGGAAGTTCCCCCAAGGAGAGGTCAGGGAAGGGGGTTCTCGGACCACTGGGCGTTGTTGTTAGGAAATCCAGAAAACCTGGGGTCGTCCCTCCTAATCCCAGCTGTACCCCACAGGACATCCGAGAGCTGGTGCCAAAGAGGGTCCTTAAAGCTCCCATGGGGGCTCCCTCGGAGGGCAGGGTGGGAGCCCGCACTTAGGTAGGAAGGGCTGGCGTTAGGGCACCTCCTCTGGGTGCTCCTGGGGACAGGAGTCTGGATCAGAGAGGGACTGGGGTGGGGCCCGGTCGCTCCCAGCCACCCCAGCCCTGACCTCACAGGGCAGGCCCGCCAGGTCTCCACCCGCCGCCGCCTCCTCCTCCTGGCAGCACTCACCTGGCCGGAGGAAGATGCCCACACTCT